ATCTATATCATCCATCGTATACTGACTGTGCTAAATCTATAGGTCATACCGCAGCCTACCCTATCTATATCATCCATCGTGATACTGACTGTGCTAAATCTATAGGTCATACCACAACCTTACCTCTCTATATCATCCATCGTGATACTGACTGTGCTAAATCTATATGTCATACCACCACCTTACCTATCTATATCATCCATCGTGATACTGACTGCTAAATCTATAGGTCATACCGCCGCCTTACCTATCTATAGCATCCATCGTGATACTGACTGTGCTAAATCTATAGGTCATACTGTCACCTTACCTATCTATATCATCCATCGTGATACTGACTGTGCTAAATCTATAGGTCATACCGCCACCTTACCTATCTATATCATCCATCGTGATACTGACTGTGCTAAATCTATAGGTCATACCACAACCTTACCTATCTATATCATCCATCGTGATACTGACTGCTAAATCTATAGGTCATACCGCCGCCTTACCTATCTATAGCATCCATCGTGATACTGACTGTGCTAAATCTATATGTCATACCGTCACCTTACCTATCTATATCATCCATCGTGATACTGACTGTGCTAAATCTATAGGTCATACTGTCACCTTACCTATCTATATCATCCATCGTGATACTGTATGTGCTTAAACATGAGGTCATTACATCGGCTTTATTTACCATTGTAAATGTAATGCTTGTGAAAGCCTTTTAGTTGTTTAAGTTTCTTAAACACTTCACGGCTATCAATAGAAATCAAGCAAGGAACAGCATATCAACCACTTTAACGGGGACCATTACTCAAACAATGTTTTTTCAACCTTTGCCATTCGTACATTCGCACTGGCGACAACGTGAGATAAAATCTCAGCTGAGAATCCAATTGTACTTTTATGTATTCGTTAATATCCTCTCTAAATTCAGAGATACAATGCACGTAATCTATTCAATTAACGTCATCGACAACAGGAAAGTATCACTTCGCTCAAAACCGATTTATCGACGCCGTGATTGGCTGAACAAGTCGGCCATATTGAAATCGATCTTGCCACATTGTAATCTCTTTATTTGGATGCAACAAAATCAAAAAAATACAGAAATATTCTGAGGAGTAGCTTGCAGAAGAACATTTTTATATTTTTAATTCACTATTTTACTATTTTGCATTTAAAATATTTAAAATGATTATAAATAATGTGTATTGGAAACTTATATTCATTTGCGTGTATTTTGTACATTTTTTTCTTGTGTGATGTAAGCATCGGTTTGTCTCTGCTAATTACAAAGGAGGCTTGCTTGTGATGTCTCCTAATCATCAATTTCTAACTAATTAATTTCGTTACGCGATCGGGCATTAGAAGCCGGCAAGACGTCGCCATAAACACGTCAGTGTTTCATGGCATACGTAACAAGATCAAGTGCCATTTCATGGTTCAAAACATTATTTTATAATCATTACTTAAGAAGGATTGGTCCTGCAGACGTAATCATGGCAATTTAATACCTATTTACACAGTTTGAAGTAGACGTCTGTCGGCCGTCGTTGAGAATCAATTCTTTTAATTCAGTTATATACCTTTCAGCAGTCACACTTAAGACCAAAGACAGATTTTTAAGTTCACTTCAACATTAGACATGCAATACTTAAGATAGTAAAATGAACCAGATCAATCCGGATTTTGACTTTCGATTGTCCCGGATGAAGAACAATTCACGAACGTAAAATTTAGGTCGTTACGCCGTCGTAATAATCGGAAGTGGTGAGCAAAACACTTATATGCATTAATACAAGCATACAGTCCCAATTCTAAAATAATTTGAGACTAAATGTGACGTATTTGTCGTAATTCAACAAAAACTGCACAATTTTGTGCATAACGGTTCCTCAAACGTTCTTAGCCAATCAAAACTCTCCTCTCAACCATTGATGACGTGGAAGCTCTCTTTTCTTTATAGTCAGTTGTTGACAGATCCAGGTCACGATGTTTGTCGAAACATTTGAAAAGGCTTCAAATGTTTCTCTGCACGGTTGTCTAAATTATTGTTTATTTTGATTCATTGTGTTCATAAGCAAACATCATCAAATCTTCCTCAGAATGGTGAAGGTATTTATTCATTCAAGTAGATAGATTCAACAACATACATCGCGGAGAGGTATGAACAAGAGACGATGACGGGATACTCATAGAAAGTTTTCAGAACGAGTGTTTTTGAAATTAAGATTGTGATTGATGTACCATTGCCTATACAGTTATCAGGTAAAGATAGGAGACAATGCCATGTGATATAATTTCATTTAACTGTGATATTATTAATTGATGTTGATCCCTGGATTGAGAATATCACCTACTATAACGGTCTTTTTCAACATTCTGAAATTATTTACAACCTCACTTGAAGAGGAGAAAAAGCTAAAACGAAAAACGTATCAAAGATTTTCATTATCGTACTCTCAATTTCACAATTTGAAGACTCATCTTAACAAGTCGTTATGATATATTTATTTTAAAATTTTAAGAATGTTACCTGCTCCCCCCAGTGCATGATCGTTAAAGGCGACTAAACATGTGATATTTATATTTGTTCTTTCTAATATTTTTTATTCTCCTTTATGTCTCACTTAACACTGTCCTACTTTTGAGCATTTGTCTAGGATCAGTATAAAGTGACCAGGTGGGGTCTCACAAACATCGGAAAGCCGTCCTTAAGCAGGTACTTCTCTGGGAATTAAAAAATTCCGGTGTTTAACTTTTTTTCTGATGGTTCTTTTTTAAATGTTTGCTTCTAAAACGCAGATTAAGAAAGCAAAAAAAGTGATATTATACAGCACTTCTTTTTCTGGTACAGATGAAAAAATATCGTTTATTTTCACTTAATTTCATTCTCTCGTATTTTCTTGGGAACCTGTTTTGAAATAAATTCGTCTTTCATTACAAAGTAAGGTTATGATACTTGGTTATTAAGAAAAAAAATCATCTGAAAATGCTAAGTTTTCACTTGATTTAAGAAACGTTAGACCGCATAGCAACCAAAACTTAGAAATGTTCTTAAATGACACGAATCTTCCAGTATTAACATTTTTTCTGGTTTTAAGATCTGAGAGAGAAATTTAAAAGGATACTTTTTCATGATTTGAAAAGAGTGTGTCTTAGTGCTTTAAGTTTTGCAAATTTCATCCAAATAGCCTTTTCTTAGAAGATCTAGAAACCAGCTGAAATTTTCAGGTCCTAAAAACTCAAGAAAGTGATCACCAAGTCGAATTCACGGATTTGAAGTAGGTGGCACGTGATGATATTTCATGCAACATTCAGCTGAATTATTAGATTTATACTAAAAAGAAGTACCTTAGCGACCAGAAAACGTTGAAACTGTTGACGATATTAACCGAATATCACCGTCAAACGCGTATACGCCAACAAATGCAGTTCACTCGCGTTATTTCTTCAAAACGTGATACAAATCGTCCGTTTAAATTGTTAGTACAACTATACATGTAAGGTATCTAGAAAATTTATAGTCCAAGAAATTATAGTGGAATTCGCTTGATATTGAATTATGTCTTACTTCCTGTCAAATCATCAGAGGATTACATCTTAAATGATTGGCCTGTTGATGGGACGTTAAACCAAATATCGCAAAAACTCACAAAAATAAAAAATATAGATAAGAACACACCTCAATCTAAATTATTTAAGTTACACTCCACAATAACAACAACTTGAAGTTGCAATAAAGAACAGAAGGCATTGTTTTTTACTTTATCTAAACAATACACCATTTTTATAATATAAAATTACTAAACTGCGTTTTTAAATTTCATTTGGAGGTTATGAAAATTATTCAAAACTAAAATTTATAGATTACAAAATGGTGACGTAACATTCTTGTTCAAGTTACCTTGAACTCTTTCGCTTTTAATGATGTATAAAGCACGTTCTGGTCGTTATATATAATCGTCCACAATGAGTATATCCTCGGGGAAATTTTAACCAAGAGCTGTGTTAATCAATATATTTGAAATAGTCATGATAGAAAATAAGATTTGATTGATTAAGGTACGATGGCAGCAAGAGATTGCTGGAAACGTGTGTAGCTTTAATGTTTTTCTGTTTAAAGGATGTCTAGATTCATATAATCGGCGTCAGAGATATCGAAATATTGACAGAAAAGCATTAAAACACGTGGGCGTATGTTTGAGAAAATGTGCAGACTTGTCCAATACGCTGCAGGCTGACTCCATGTTTTCCTGTAATTTGTTGCAAATTCTTCATCTTTTACAAAAGTCTTTTTTGGTAATCATCCTACATCACATCCTCTTTATATAGTGCACTTATATGTTGTCCACGCGTGCTTTAAACTTTAATTGTTACGGATAATTTACAAACATTTGCAGCGAGAGAAGTCAAATCCAGAGCGGGAGAAGTCATATTCAGAGCGAGAGAAGTCAGATCCAGAGCGAGAGAAGTCAGATCCAGAGCGAGAGAAGTCAGATCCAGCGCGAGAGAAGTCAGATCTAGCGCGAGAGAAGTCAGATCCAGCGCGAGAGAAGTCAGATCCAGAGAGAGAGAAGTCAGATCCAGAGAGAGTCAGATCTAGCGCGAGAGAAGTCAGATCCAGAGTTAGAGAAGTCAGAGAGAGAGAAGTCATATTCAGAGCGAGAGAAGTCAGATCCAGAGTGAGAGAAGTCATATTCAGAGCGAGAGAAGTCAGATCCAGAGTGAGAGAAGTCAGATCCAGAGTGAGAGAAGTCAGATCCAGAGTGAGAGAAGTCAGATCCAGAGCGAGAGAAGTCAGATCCAGAGTGAGAGAAGTCAGATTCAGAGCGAGAGAAGTCAGATCCAGAGTGAGAGAAGTCATATTCAGAGCGAGAGAAGTCAGATCCAGAGTGAGAGAAGTCAGATCCAGAGTGAGAGAAGTCAGATCCAGCGCGAGAGAAGTCAGATCTAGCGCGAGAGAAGTCAGATCCAGAGTTAGAGAAGTCAGATCCAGAATGAGAGAAGTCATATTCAGAGCGAGAGAAGTCAGATCCAGAGTGAGAGAAGTCATATTCAGAGCGAGAGAAGTCAGATCCAGAGTGAGAGAAGTCAGATCCAGAGTGAGAGAAGTCAGACCCAGAGCGAGAGAAGTCAGATCCAGAGTCAGATCCAGAGTGAGAGAAGTCAGACCCAGAGTGAGAGAAGTCATATTCAGAGCGAGAGAAGTCAGATCCAGAGTGAGAGAAGTCATATTCAGAGCGAGAGAAGTCATATTCAGAGCGAGAGAAGTCAGATCTAGCGCGAGAGAAGTCAGATCCAGAGCGAGAGAAGTCAGATCCAGAGTGAGAGAAGTCAGATCCAGAGCGGGAGAAGTCAGATTTAGAGCGAGAGAAGTCACATCCAGAGCGAGAGAAGTCAGGTCCAGAGAGAGAGAGAGAGAAGTCAGATCCAGAGTGAGAGAAGTCAGATCCAGAGTGAGAGAAGTCAAACCCAGAGCGATAGAAATCAGACCCAGAGCGAGAAAAGTCAGGTTCAAAGCGAGAGAAGTCAGATTCAAAGGGAGAGAAGTCAGATCCAAAAAGAGAAGTCGGATCCAGAGTGAGAGAAGTCAGATCGAGAGCGGGAGAAGTCATATTCAAAGCGAGAGAAGTCAGATTCAGGGCGAAAGAGCGAGAGAAGTCAGGTCCAGAGAGAGAGAGAGAGAAGTCAGATCCAGAGTGAGAGAAGTCAGATTTAGAGAAGTCAGATCCAGAGTGAGAGAAGTCATATTCAGAGCGAGAGAAGTCAGATACAGAGTGAGAGAAGTCAGATCCAGAGTGAGAGAAGTCAGATTTAGAGCGAGAGAAGTCAGAACCAGAGTGAGAGAAGTCATATTCAGAGCGAGAGAAGTCAGGTCCAGAGCGGGAGAAGTCATATTCAGAGCGAGAGAAGTCAGATACAGAGTGAGAGAAGTCAGATCCAGAGCGAGAGAAGTCAGATTTAGAGCGAGAGAAGTCAGATCCAGAGCGAAAGAAGTCAGGTCCAGAGAGAGAGAAGTTAGATTACGAGCGAGAGAAGTCAGATCCAGAGCGAGAGAAGTCAGATCCAGAGCGAGAGAAGTCAGATTCAGAGCGAGAGAAGTCAGATCCAGAGCGAGAGAAGTTAGGTCCAGAGAGAGAGAGAGAAGTTAGATTACGAGCGAGAGAAGTCAGGTCCAGAGCGAGAGAAGTCAGATTCAAAGCGAGAGAAGTCAGATCCAGAGCGAGAGAAGTCACATCCAGAGCGAGAGAAGTCACATCCAGAGAGAGAGAGAGAGAAGTCAGATCCAGAGCGAGAGAAGTCAGATTCAAAGCGAGAGGAGTCAGACCCAGAGCGAGAGAAGTCAGAAGAAGACATAATTTTAATGGCTACCACCAAAACCATTTCTCTTTAATGGAGGAAAATACTCGCAGTTATCACTTAACATTCCTCTCAATGGGATAAATAATATTAAAGATTCATTCAGCTGCTATATATGACGTGATCACGAATCATCTATAGGTTGTTTGCATTGATATAAGCTTTACTCAATTCATTCACAATATAAACAATGTACAGAAGCCACCAAAATATATCGAATTAATTAGATACGGAAACAAGTGTTGAAACACTTATATTAATCCGCTTCAAGATATTAACTTGATAAAAATTTGACGAGGCACGATGTAAATAGTCTAGACTCAGCAAAAATGTGGCTAATTAGGTATGAGGAGAATTGGAAAAGAAAGGGATAGGATAGGTTGAGGAGGAGGGAGAGGAGTTTTCCGTCATACCAAAAGTTAGAATTTCAGAAAATCACACAGACATAAACTGCAGAAGCTTACGGGCTGGTATTGGTAACCGTAAACTAAAATTATTCATACTAAGCTTAGACATAATTGCAGTTCCCTTAATTACGACTTATTTCGGATGAACCTTTTGGATACCCATAGCAGTGTATGTGGAAATATGTGTGAAAATGTCTATCCCTTTTCTTTGAATGCCATCGTTATAATGTTCACAGAAATGTCCTTTTCCAACGTTTAAATGATATGAATTTACAACACTGTGACTTAGATCTGCTCCTTAATGGAAATGATCAATTTTTTTTACGAGCCCAACATTTTATATAAAGCATCAACAGGTTTTAAACCATGAAATCTGTTATAATTTTACTTCCTTCTACCCCCTACCCCCATCCCCACTCTCTCTCTCTCTTCTCTCTCTCTCTCTCTCTCTCTCTCTCTCTCTCTCTCTCTCTCTCTCTCTCTCTCTTATGCCCGATCCTTTTGTAAATAATTTACAATAAAATATGTTTAATTCAAATGTGAAAAGTCTAATAACAATACTAAAGAATTCAAATAAAATGTGCTAGAGCATCAAGCAAATATATTGGAGCTTACGATGACGTTTTAAACACATTAGAAAATCTTTTTATTTTCAGCTACAGAGTTTTCCTCGATACCAAAAAGTAGTAATTGCAATGAAATCTGGCACATTAATTCACTAAAAACACGTACGCGCAGTTGGTGGAAGTGACGACAATACAATAAAAAATGTTCATTTGTTCCGTTCACATCAATACATGGGCATAGTGGACGATTAGTGAGGTTCTTTTTAAGTAAGTAGAATTTCAGGGAACAGTATTCCATTCGTAGTCTGGAGAATCTTATCCATTCTGCTACCAGTATACTAAAAAGACGGCACTCTAATGTTAGGATCGTTTAGATATTTTTTTGAGTCTACCGATTGCTTGATCACATCTTATACGATTTGGCAGCATATTCCATAGAGCATTTACAGAAGGCCAGAAAGGCTTTTTTTTATATAAGTTTGTACGACAGGAAAAAGAAACGAAATAATTGTCAGTGCTAGTGTTGTGACGATATGCCAAGTTGTTTCGTGCAGAAAGCAGATCTTGGAGGTATTGGGTATTAACCATTTCGTGAAATTGGATGATTTTGTGATGTGTGCGTCTGTGGTTAATTGGGAGTCCGCCAGTTTCTGCATAGAGTTTGGATCTACTTGTTAGTCTTGTTGCACCAGTGACAATGCGTAGTGATGGATGGTTAAGGGTGATAATTTTCCGGCTTATTAGAAGTGTTTCTGTTTTAATAGGATTGAAGTTCACTAATCAATATTGTTTCCATTCGTGGACTTTTTGGAGATCATGTTTTAAAAATTCTACATTTATCATAGGTGAATCAATGACAACATACAGCGATGTGTCGTCTGCAAATAATTATACAACGGAGTTGATGTTTTCCACAATATCATTTATAAATATAAGAAAAAGAAGAGCTCCAAGAACAGAGCCTTGTGGCATGCCAGCCTTAATATAGGACCAATTATAATGTTAACCATTAGTAAAAACTCTTTGTTTCCTGTTGAGAAAATAGTGCTCGAACCATGAAAGAAGTGGACTACGAGTTCCAAAACTGGATAATTTACAAAGAAGACCTTTGTGCCAAACACGATCGAATGCTTTGCTAATGTCACAGAAGACCATCCGTATTTCCTTGCCTTGGTCAAGTGAAGAATATATATCGTTAACGAAAAATAGAAGCTGGTTGGTTGGTGAGTCGCCATGTCTAAAACCTGACTGGAAATGTGATTATAAGGAATAAGTAAGTATGAAGTTATATACATATTTAAAAACATGTCGTTTCACTAATTTTTAATTAAAAGAGAAGTGGGCTTGTAATTGGTTAGAATAGACTTGTTATCGTTTTTGTAAACTGGGGTAATTTTAGCCATTTTCCGTTCAGTAGGAAATAAGCAAGTGTTGATGGATTTATCAAAAAGATAATTACGAGGATTACAAAGGATATCTGTGGCTTCTTTGAGTAACCGTGGATTGCCAAGATTAGGACCGACGACTTTTGAGCAATCAAGATCTAAAATTGCGTCTTTAACATCAGTGATTGTTATATTCATTGTTAGTAAATGTTCGTTAGTTTTATCGCCAATAGAAGGACGATTTAATTTAAAATCATCGACATTAGACTCAGCACAGAAAAAGTGATTAAACAGACAAGCTTTCTGAAAATCTTCTAAGATTATAGAAGCATTGTGTATCAAAGACGGTATGCAAAATATACTGGAGTTGAGTAATAATAATCTTAAAGTTTTCCACCAGGCTCTCGCACTTAAATTATTAATGTGTTGAAGTTTTGCCTTCTAGATGGCGTTAACATTTCGAACGTGCCGGAAAGACAACCAGTGAGCGTTATTCATGGTACGTTTGGCTCTCTTATGTACTCGTTTGCGTTTGCTGATAAGTTTACGATTCTGTATTAGTCATCCAAGGAGATTCGTTAGATCTGACGGTTGTGACTTTATTCGGAACGCAAGATTTACCGATATAAAGTAGGGTAGTTTATCACTGCGGAAAACCATGTTGTCAACTGCAATGCGGTTTTTTCTCTGTGTAACAAATAGTTACTATGTTAAAGGAGCCAAACCTGACGCTTGAAGGACTGCTGCACTGCTTTAACAATGTTGATAGAACAGTAAGTGGGGCAGTGGTATCTAATTAGTTGGTCTAGAAAACTCTCACCTACAATACATTTATTGATTACTTGGCAGTACTAGTGCAAACTGTATCAAGGAGTGAAAAGAATCTTCGGTGTAAAACGTTGAATCTTTTACAAGTTGCGTTAAATCAGAAGAAACGAGCAGGTTACTTAGGTAGGCAGACTGGTGGTTGTTAGTACGTTAGCACTGAAATCGCCCGTGATTATAGTGTTCGGTATACCAGTATTGAGAGTATTGTCAATTGATTGGGAAATGTATGATCAAGTTATCACTGCAGAATTTAGTGGTCTATAGCAAGTACCGTTTCTATTCTATCAATTTAATGTGGTATATTGTTTTTACCTTCTTGTTTCAATACCGATTGCGAGGTATTTTAAATACAATGTGTAATCCAAATCAAGATCAATGAACGAAGGAAATCGCTTATACTGTAAAAGTTGAATTTTAAGTGGTCAAATGTTCGCGGTTTTATCAAAAGCTTGATATTAAAGGGACGTATATCTCGTAGAAGTCATAAAATGGACTATTGTTTTCATTAATTCATGGTGTTTTCAATATATAGATATTTCATGAATGTGTTCAATCTTTGAAATAGACAAATAATAGAACCCGCGAAAAAAGCAACTCTTACGATAACTTCCTCAAAATTTTCTTACCTTTGACTGTTGAGATACAGAGGATTGTACAATTGAAGACAGAACCAACAAAGGCGGTGACAGATACCACACTCATAATGTAACGAGAGGCCCGGATGTCCCGGCTTGGAGGAGGAGACATGGTGCCAAGTTAGATCCGTCCTTTAGCGGAACCGGAAATCACAGAAACACAAAACTCAGATTCCAATATCTGTAGCATCCTTAGAACGTATCGCTGTGTAACTGGTCCACGAACAATCGACAATGACGCTAGTGATGTATACTGTAATTACATTATCCACATATTGACTTCTGCTGGCTTGTTGTTCAATCATAATGTACCTGTCAATCAAAATCACACGCTATGCTTTAGAAAGTCAATTTAAGTATACGTGGGAGGGCTGAAATCGATTATCAAATAAAGACTATGGCTACATACAACAGAGAAAATGAACGGGGAAACGAATCTCATTTCAACGAAATTGACAATTACATCTTATTTTTGACATATACAAGAAAAAATACATATTTTTATTGGACGTTTCGTTTTAACGTCAACACATGCATTTCTTTACTGATATTGACACAGTAATATACTTATACTTATTGAAATTGACAAGGAAACATTCTGTTTCTTACAGAACTCATAAGTCTAAATTATACCTTT